CTTACTACACTAAGTGTGGGATGCATGACTCAGTAATAGTGAGAATCTCAGGAATATGTGAAATGTTAAGAAAAAATTAATATAACCTTTAAATAATATCAAAATCATGATTGTGTGTAATATCAGAGGAATGGAAACATGATTTATCATAAAGTGAGTGCTAGAAAGTGATTAAAACTTGCCATAGATCAAGTACTGTTTTTTTTTCTGGCAACATTTTGAGATGCAGCTAGCTAGGAATGTCAAACTGAGAAATGACACACAAACGTGGCAATGCTAGCTCCGAATCTCATTTATTCCCTTTTATTTCCAATTTTCTTTGGAGAGAAATCATTTGGGATAAATGATACAGCAGCAGAGCTATGTCTTGTCAGTTTTTCCTGCGACAGTTTCACTGGAAGGGCAGTCAGGGCTGTGTGCAATCATGTAATCGCTAATGAGAAGTTATTTTATCACTTGTTTTGTGCACTTCGCTCAAATTTGCCAAGATAATCGCAGGACCACGGGCACTTCCTGTCATCCGCGACAAGTGGGAGTTCGGAGAGATTCCCTTCACGGCAACTTCCTGTGCATTTTCGACAGTCTATTTTATTCTCCACAAGAAACACGTTATTCTCCTGCGCCACTCATTATTTCTGCCAATAGGGCCTCGAGCTACACAGAGAAAATGAACGCTGAAAAATTTCCCAGAATAAGAGAGAAAAAACTCTGTCAAATGTTCCTGCGCTCTCTCTAAATGACAACTTTTTGCCAATATTTTTTTTTGTCTCTAACAATGTTCTGATGTTAGAGGGCTTGTTTCATATTACAGACAGGCAGATATAGAAGGCTAATGTTATGAGATTCTGTCTATGTAGATCTATAAGTATGACTGTTCTCAGATGTCATCTCCATGCAGTAAGAGAGCTGACAAATGTCTATAATTTCATAGCTTCTCTCTAATTAAAGTGTTCAAAAGTCATTGTTGAGAAGCATTATTAATATAATTATAACTGGTAGATGCATTAATATGAACATTGCAAAATTCTTATTACTTTTGAGAATCAGGGGCTTGTTTTACAAAAGAACTTACGACTAAGACCAAAAACTTCAGATTGTTTTAAAATTTTGCAAAATTGATAATTCTCTTTGAAATTGGTTGTGTAAATATTTCTTACCACTTTTTTAAAAAAATGTTTCAAATAATTTTTTGATTTAATGTTAATTAAAAAGTTATATGAAGAATTAAATTTGGTCTTAAGTCATAAGTCCTTTTGTGAAACGGGCCTCAAGACTTTACTTTCAATACTTCATTAAGGACAGATTTTTTAAAAATCTTGAAACGAACTACTAAATTCTAGTTTATGGAAGTCAAACAAATAAGCTAATTAAGTCAAATCATTTAAAATTTCATACAAAGGTTTACAATGGTTTCCTTAAAAGTTAGTAAAGATCTACATGTATATGGATGGCTGAGCAAAAAGGTAGAATTTTGAAAGATAACATTTTCATGAAGGATCAGCGCATGCACTCCACACCAGTAATTTGGGATTCCTTTTTTGGTAGCTTCTGTTGTTTTGTGTGTTACTTCTCTTAATTCGTCAAAGAATTTGTCACTTTAGAATCTGATTTGATTATATCAAATTGAAATTATGCTTTATGTAACATTTATAATACATATACCCACATATAATACGATAGTAGATGTAGATAAATAAGCCAATCCTTTACAAAGATTTCTACAAAAGGAAAAAAAAATTAAAAAAAAGCTCTACTGAATACTAGTTGACAGTTATGAAGCCTAATTGAGAAGTCTGGCAGACAATATTGAAGTCTAAGTGTTGTTCACTGCCGTTATATTTTCATTACGGAGAACAAACTTTTTCCTGATGAAACCCCTCGGATCCTGTCTTTGAAGAAAGAAGCGTCATTATAAAGATTTTCTGGTATCTTTTGATGTCCTTAATGAAAGCCATGGAACGTCCAGACCAAGAGTTTTTAATGGAAAAAAATTACTATTCTTAAGACCAAACCACTGCATTGTTAGACATATCCTTCAATGTCGAGAAATATAAAGTCACGTTTTGCGGTGAGAGTTCTCTCATGATCTGCCATCAGAAGTGCTATCTTAAGAAAGTCATTTCTTACGGTTCTAAGATCTATATATTATGACGTTCATATACATTTCTCATATGCCTGATTATAATTTGAACTGAAAAAAATTTAGATTCTGTGGCATCTTTTTGAGAAAAAAAATCTTTCAATTTTAACTTTCCTCAAAAAACACTGAAGAACGTGTTCTATTTGTGCTGAATTTGTCTTTCTGTTGGCAATTTGTCAGATTTATTTCTTCAGCTGGTAGTCCTATACAAGAAGACAATACAAGGATCTTATAAAATTCCAGTATTGATGAACAAGATGTCTTACCATGGTTACTGAAAATGAAAAAAAAAAAAAAAAATTCCTCTTTTTATTCATTATTGCTCCCTGCTTTATTCTAATTTGTCTGCCTGTCTGTCTGTCACAAAAATATTAACCTTGGTCAAAACTTTTGAATGAGAAGAGATAAGACTTTCATATTTCACATGTACATTACCAATGACAAGACCTTTCCTGCAGCAAATATACTATGATTTCTTACCATGGGACCTTGAAGTTTAACCTAATTTTAAAAAATTTTAACATTACTTTAAATTGGTCATAACTTTTGAAAGAGAAAGGATAAGGCTTTCATTATAAAGATGTATATTACCTGTGACAAGGCCTTTCTGAATGTACTATGATGTTTTGACTCTGTGACCGTAACCTTGAAGTTTGACCTACTTTTCAAAAATATTATCTTTCCTTTTAACTTTTAGAGAGATAGGTCTTTCTAATATTTGACATGTGCATTACATAAAACGATGTTTCCAAGCATGCTGTATAATTTTTAACCCCTTGACTTTGATCTTGAACTGATGTTTGTTTCATTCTTGTCAGAGATTTTTGATATGGACTCCTTTAGGTATCTTACAACTTTCCTTTTTAGTTCAGATATCTATTTCATGGATTCATTTCATTGGTGCAGTTAAACAAATCATTTTTAGCTCACCCAAGCATCCGTCTGTCTAAAGTTTTCACATTTTCAATTCAAGAACCACTGGACCAATTTTATCCACACTTGGTACAAAGCATTCCATAGGAGAAGGGGAGTTAAAACCAATAAATTGAAGGGCCAAATCCCCTTAGAAGGAGAGATATAATCACAAAGCATTTTGATCCATGGGCCTCTGCATGTTTCTATATTCATTGCTGTGTATCAAGGAGACCAAAAAAAAGCCCTCCTCTTCTCACAAGCATTATTAATTTCAGTCAATGATGAGATTTTGAAGTCACACTAAGGGTAAAATTGGTAAATAATTGATGGGAAAAGGGGCACCTTGCCACCTTACCCCCAGGGCTGTGATGGGGTGAAAAAATTCCCATTGGGAATCAATAATTGGAGTAATATTTTTTTTTCTATAGGAGCTATTCATATGCATGCCCTGATAATATTATGTCTGTCCATATATTATTAGGACCCCCCTTTAATTTCAGAATTGCAAATAATATTGTATTAGTTATATACCCAACTAGCTGTGTATCTGTAATTCAAAAACATTCCTTGAAAGTTCTTTGTTAAATTGATGAAGGTAAATGTATAATTGATTCTAAATGTTTTTTTTTTTTTAAATTATATTTAGCTTATATGAGAGGGGTATTTAATTATTAATTAATAAAATAATATGATTTGAAAAACTGTATCAGATCCAGTAGATACTAGGTACCGATCATCAGATCAAACTCAAGGTTTTACATCTCATCTTGATCTGATGACCCTAACCTGTCAACTCTAGGTGAAGCTCTTTGGATCAAGTTACCTTTGTAATAATATGATATGTGTCGAATGATAAAACACTTAATTAATTGCTTTTTGGATGGTTTCATGTTTCAGGTTATGATATTTTTTATGTGTAATCTTTTTTTTTTTGATAAGAATGAAGTTATTTTGTATTTTGTTCATCACTTGTAAAACAGAGAGAGAGAAAGGGAGAGAGAGAGAGAGAGAATTGATTTTTCGAATTCTTCTAGAGCTTTATTTGCAACAAGGGAAAACTTGACATGCAAAAATTGTCACCAAAGCGATTGCACAATATCAGACACTTGAAGATTTTTGTTAATGTTGCTACATTGCACAACATCTTCATTCTGCAGCCACGACTTTTTTATCCGAGAAATTTTATTATTTGGATGTCATTGATGGACTTTGTTTTCGTTTCTTTTTGCCACTCATACTCAGGGGAACGATTTTCATCACAGAGCTAATCAAATTTATAAGCAATTATTGACAACTCTTTGAAAAAATTGTTATTTTATCAAAATTATTTGAGACAATGCTCAAAGTATGTATGCAGCAAAAGGTGCTATATTTGTGCCATGTAATTGTATGAGCAATTGTGATTCATAAATCCTATTTCCATTTATGATACACTTCAACTTTTGTTAGATTAAGATATTAAAAATCACTTCACTGAAAGCATGAATTCATTGAGAGTTTGATATAATTTTTTTTACTGTATATTAACATTATTTCTGGTCCACCAGAAAAAAGTTTTGTATACAGTGGCCTTGCTTTCACTCCTTCTATTCTTGTTCTTATTGGGGGAAGGCAATCCTCAGGCTCTAGGGCCATCAAGCTGAAATGAGCTCAATTTTGATCTCGTCTCACTTTTTCAAAAGGGATTAATAGTGGAAAAGTGAGACTGAGATTAAAAGTGAGCTCATCTAAGTTCATCTATGGTCCCGGAGCCGTGAATGGGAAGGGGGCTACAGTTAAGTAGAAAAAGAATGAAGGGAAACAATCTAGGGAAGCAGGGGCAATAACTCTGATGAATTCTTCAGATATATTCAAAGTACACATCAGGAACAGGTGAATTGTTACTTACTTAAACCGTACAATTTGCTGATCTCTCTGATAATGACATTTCTTTGCTTGATTACAGAGAACATAAAGGATAAGGTGAATAAGAAGTTGGGACTGGCCATAGAAGATGTTGGTATGGGGAGCCATGATGTAAGTACATAGTATATATACAAATTACTCTGGTGGGATACTTTCTTAGTGACTGTCTGCATCATCATATAAACAATCTGAAAGTGTCAGGTCTGTTTTACTCTATGGAAACAATAATACATATGATCAAAGTCATACTTGTGTATAACAATGCCTACTTGGAAAAATCTTTTAAAATCTTGAGAATCGCAAAGCCAATTGATTCTTCATATTTTAAGATAAAGAGCATCCTCTGGTAATGTAGATCTAAGTTATCAATTTCATAGTACAGTAATATCAAACAAAAAAATCATGTTTCATTGTTTGCATGCCTTTAATGGAGATCTGTGTTGTATGGAAATTCTAGGAAGAAGGGGTTGTATTTTCTTTTCTGATTAGGTTTGTTGTTAGATTAATATGTCAAAAAAGAGGCATTATAGTCTTTGATGGGAAGTTACTGTCCTAATCCAAAATTAATTAAATCACACTTTGAAGTGATGATGGATCTGAGTGTATAAATCCATAGTGAAGGCCAGAAAAGATAAAGATTACATCCTAGAGAAATATTTTGAAGCATCAAATTCAAGAAACAGCATTCATAACTATGTCTGTGCTTTTCGAATTAATTTACAGAAGAGAAGATTGTTCGCTTTTTTTTTTTTCATGTTTATATTGAAAAATATTTGATGTGAAAGAATGTGCTTATATAAGATTTTAAAAAAGCCAGTATTGTTTCTTAAAATTTACTGCAGATGTCGATCTTTGCCAAAGAGAGAATATTTCTCTTTAACTCGTAAATTTTCTAAAAGATTTGTAGGAAATGACAAAGAAAGAACAAACCTACTTGGCTTCATTTTATTTCCCTGATGATCATGAAATCAGAACGTGATGAAAATGACTTGCAATATTTTTCTTTAAATTCCAGAAGAAAAGATGCATCAAATGAATTTTAATTAAAAAAAAATTAATTTGAAAAAAGAAAAAAAAATGCACATTTGATAAAAAAAGTTCGATTTAAATTGCTGTTTGTGAATGCCCTGAGTAAGACAGCGGATATTAGATATCAATAATTTTTTAAGAAATATGTGTTAGGATTGGTGAAGAATGAACAATGAACAGCCGTAAGCTAAAGTAATGAAATATTATCAGGAAGTTGTTTGCAGGTTTATAAACTGGATTGAATACATGGTAAATAAGGCACCTGGCCTAATCATTTTAAAGAAATATATGAAATGAAAATTAATAATATGAACAAATTCTGTATTTAATTGGTAAACATGGTACTTATATTGCCAATAATTGAGATCATTTTCAGAGGAAACATCAAAGATTGAATGGGTGAAAATGGCACCTGAAATTTTTTTTTTGTCAGAAATGTAGACCAGACTGGAATGAAAATTGGTCACCTGCATGATCTTAATTAAATCCTGAAATTCAAGAATTATTATAGATGTATTTTAATGAAAAAAAAAAGTGTTATCAGGGAAAAAAAATTGGTGATGCAAAGAGCTGAATCCTTAATTAAAAATTAATTTTTAGATCACATGGGTTGGTTAGTACTCATTTTAGTTCTACTTTGTGCTTTGATCACACAAGGCCTAGCTGCACTGGGGACCTCGATCCTAGCTCTCTGCTGACAGTTCCTGCCCCCAGTCCACCCCAAGGTGACCCAGTGCCATTTATTTTTTGTTTAAACCCAGTTCATAATCTTTTTAACAATTTCGTCTTCTCTAGGGATGTGCGATTTTATCGGTATACCGGTATATCGTGATTTTTTATTGCGTGACCCAGGTATTTAAGCCATAAAGTCCAGAAATTATTTTTATTTGTTCAATCTTTCAAATTACAATTACAGAAAGTCAAAAAAAATGTTGTATAAGGTGAAAAACAGCCTATTATCTTGATTAATTTTATGCACATAAAATTTCAAAAAATTGAAATTTTGTTTTTCTAGCATATTTTTAAGAAAAATAATGACTGTTCATTTAAAATAAATGTTAAATTTGCTTGTAGAAATATCATGATATTATCGTGATATTTTGGGAAAAAAATTGTGATATATCGCGATACGAAATTTTTCGCAATACCCATCCCTAGTCTTCTCTTGAACCATTGAACCAATTTCAACCAAATTTGATATGCACACATCTATGGGGAAATAAGAACATCAAATTTTGAATTTTAAAATCCCTGTAGTCCTATGGACTGAGAGGTTGGGACAGAGTCTTAAAAATAAATTAATGTAATCATGAAAATTTTTCTTTACATTTGGATGGTAATCAACAGGCATGCATGCAGATGTTAATTAGGAATGAGCTTTCTATCAAAATTAAGATTAAAAAATAGCATGAGAAAGTCATAATACTCAGGTTTCTGTTAAGGCCCATGGGCCTCTTGTTGAGAATGGTATTCCAATTATTTAAAAGTTGAAATGATTGATTGATTGTATATTGTTTATCACCGAGTCAGCAATATTTCATTGATCCATATTTTTGGGAATTTTTTTAGTTGAAATGGGAATTGGTTCCATGTTTAAATTTAAACCTAATGAAGAGTATTATTTTAAAACATGCTATAAATAAAAATATATATGCAAATGTAAAAGTTGAACATGTTGAATGCATTGAAATAGATGTTAAAAACCTTTATGAGTTCATGAATTAATTGTGAAATGTCAGTGTGCAATCCATTTAACACAACATTACAACCTTCAATGGTGGGCCTGGTAGATAAAGCATTGATTGCACTTCCCTAGAATAGAAAAAGAGAGGTGAGATTTTCTTATGTGTGAAAACATTGGACATTGTGGTGATGTAGAATCTAGTGTGGGAGCTTGCAGTCTCCTGGTGATGTGGTGTGTCACACTGTTGTTAAATCATGCCCCCCTCATTATGACGCCTCGAAGCCTACTCTATCACACCGTACAACATGTAATGGCCTACGTTGGTAATTGTTTTATATGTACGAAGCTCAGAGCAAGACTGAATGAACATGCAGGGTAATGGCCTGGCTTGCTAGCTTTGAGATTTGGTATCACTGTGAATCATCTTCGTCCATTGAGGGCGTATTATAAGTGATTCGAGCATAAGTCATTTACTCATCTTTACTATGAATATTTTAAAATTTTTAGATCAAATGTCTAATGTGGTAAACCAAAGTTTAAGTAAAATACAACTCAAGATAACTGCTGACTAAAGCCATCATTGCAGTTTGTTAAATTGTGTCATACTTAACCATCATTGCAGTTTGTTGAATTGTGTCATACTTAACCATCATTGCAGTTTGTTGAATTGTGTCATACTTAACCATCATTGCAGTTTGTTAAATTGTGTCATGCTTATAACCATTGTTGCAGTTTGTTAAATTGTGGTGTACCTCATATTTTATATGTTTTTAAGCATTATAGAAAAGGAGTGGGCCTGGGGGCACAAATCATTCATTAAGGATCAAACTATAAACTCCAAGTTCGATACAGCAACCCAAAACTCTAAATCGGACAGATTCAATCAGCGATACACTCTCAGTAATGGAGACTTTGCATCAAGTGTAAATAGATAGGATTTCATTATTAATTAGAAGTATAAGTCCCTTGTCAAAATGCTGGGTGTTTTCCTAATGTCGTTAAATGTTAAATTTAAGTACCGAATTACGATGGAAAACTCCTCGGAAGGAGAGATGGTAGATGAAAGAAGCGGACATGACAGCGTAGTCATTATCGCTGATGAAGAGTCCGAAAACGGGGTAGACATTTCCTTTGTGAGCGATTCTCCGTAATCAGTGAGGAGATAGCGATTTTTTTAATTGGAATTCCTTCCCACTCATTTGATTCATTATGTTTTAGTCTACCATATATCGCAGGAAGCATTGAGATTTATTTTCTAGAGTTTTATCACAATTATTCTGAAGCAAGCACAGTAATACATGTACCTTCAAATTAAGTCTATATAAGGGCAGGTTGTCTTGATTTTGTTTCTCCGACAAAGAGATCTTTATGTTAATTAATTTTGTATATGTGTTACTTAATGACGGTTCTGGTACACATTTTCAGGTGCACGTGAGCCTAAATCACGTTACAACTAAGTGACGTTATATAAGTATGGGATAGGAAATGATCGCCTGTACCTGCTGGTTTGTAAAGAAAATGATTTCCTCTGAATTTATAGCTAGCGTAACTCTGCTTCTACTTTCCAATGATTAATGTATTCTTTTTCCCATGATTATGCCCATACTTTGTAAAAAAACAAAAAAACATTTATATAATGCCGTAATGTACGGAAGTATTCTAAGTGTCCACCTAGTATATAGATTGAAGTATAGTCTCAGAATTCCTTCTGGTCTGGATCCTGAAATTAAGATTTATTATCAGCGTACATTAGGTTATTTGATCAAGATATAATTACTCCTCCAGTGGTTGTTAACCCTAACATTAAAGACTAATACAAAATGTAGACTAACGAAGATAGATCGTGACCTAAAACTATATGTGTATTCATGTCCCAGTCTACAAGCATATTTAATTTTTAAAATGGCCGAATTATTATAAAAATTTTTAAAAAAAAAATGGTTGCCAAACTACAGGAAATAAATTTTCAATTTTCCTAAAGTAAAAGTTTAAAAAAGCACCAAAAAAGAAAACACAGAATTCCTTAATCATGTTACTAGCATAAGCGTACATTTAAGTTGTAGGTGCAAACAAGCTTAAATCTGACTTCTGACAGCATCCATCTAACATTAGTATAATCTAACATTAGTATCAATATACTGAGATTTTTTTCCCCATGAAATATCAGAATTAGGTGTTGAAAAAAGTCACTGTAGATGTGTGAATGTTATTAAAGGTGATCATTTTTTAAGCGCTATGATTCAAACCCTGTAAAAGGTGAAGAGACTTTAAGATTCAAGGATGCGGTTATAGACTGAGATAGTCAATCTAGACATGCTCCGTAGCAGTGACAAAGAAGTTACAGTGGAATCTCCCCCGGTGCTAAAAACCCTGTCTTCTATAGGCCTTTGATGAATTT